CAAATTTATTTAAAATAATAATAATTTATTTGTTTATTGATTGATTCTTATTGGAGAAACTTCAGTTCATCAGATTTATATAAGCTCACACACAATCTTTTAAGATTAATTTCTACACCATAGTTATTTATTTCTTAAATCCTTACTCAGCTAACCTGTACTTTCTTGTTTTATTTTTATTAATACTTGTCACAGTCTATAGGAACTGGACGTCATAGCTACCGCGCGATGGCGTCCAGTCCCTATACACTGTCTGATAAATAGCTTATAGTTTTGTAATAAATAAAAATATTTTATTACCCTCACACCTCATTTAAAATTTAGTAAAAATTAGATTTTTTTAACCCCTATACATATTGAATTGACAAACTCGGAAAGAGAAGAGACCACAAACTTCCCGGCCTTAAAAATTATACCATCGTTGCTTTAGAGTAGCACAGGGATGGATACTTTTAAAAGAAAGTGTAAAAAATTTGTGTCAATTCTGCCTTCAAATGAATTAAGATTCAAAAAGACGGGTGTATTGTTTTTGAGATTTTTTACGCGTGAAGAAATCATTTTTAGAGATGAATTTATATTGCTACAACATAATCTCAACGGGCATGCGGGGCGTGATGGGCTTTTCTCGTTGCTCCAAACACTCGCATATGGTATAACACGCGTGTTGGTTCAATCTATTATTAGTCAATGTTCGGTTTGCCAAGCACGTAGAACTCTAGTTATCCGTCCCGTAATTACTCCTATAATAGCTCAATTTTACAGGAAACGCTTTATAGCAGATTTTGCTGATCTTAGGTATTATTCAAACTAAAACAACGGTTTAAGGTGGTTATTTGTAATGGTTGATTCATTTTCTAAATACTTTTGGGCTGCTGCTTTGTTTGAAAAGCGTACCCTGGCTGTTAGTAATACGTTTATGAACGTGTTCAGCACCTCGGCTTCCCTTTTATATTTCATACAGACAATGGTAGAGAATTTTGCAATACCGGTGAATCAGATATATGCAATGAATTTAATATTGGGCATGTTAAAGGTAG